CGGTGATGTCGATGCCGGCGGCGGTGGTGGTGGCGCCCTCGGTGGTGATGGTCAGACTTGCGTCGGCTCTTGTGGTGGTGGCGGCGACTGCTGTGTTGTGGCTGTGGGGAAGGTGGTGGCGGTGCCGGTGAAGCGGTGCTGTCGGGCTTGTCTGTTGCAGGTAGTGAAGGTGCAGGGGCTAGTGGAGCTGATGCAATGGATGGTGATTTGGAGGCCAATGCATCTGTTGATTCAAAGGGTGTGTTAATGACTTCCAGTGGAAATCCGGTGAGAGGTGGCATGTTGGGTTGGTTGCTTTCCGATGTAAAGAACCGCGCCCCTGTGACGGGGATCACACTCAGCACCCGAGTGGGACGGCTGAGCGAAACACACTCTGACATTGGTATTCAGTTACACCCAATTCCCAGGTAAAATGGCGATGGAACGGCAAGGTGGCAGAGTCCGTGAACAGGTATTGTTTTAACAATGTTTGCAAGTGCACTCGAAGAAACGGACACTCAGCGCTGCTGCAAGTCGGCTGCATGTCTGCGGTGGGAAAATGGGTTTGGGAGTAGGTAGCATGAAGAACCATGGAATCAAACAAAGCAAATTAGACAGCGTGGTCAAAAGTTCAGGTAGCAGGTACACGGAAGTGATCAGCTTCCGCTTCCTAGGATCTTGCAAAGAGCGTCGTTGGGCAGAGCTTTGCAAGTCCTCTCTGCCCCCCTGCCTGTAGAAGGTGGTTGAAAAAGGTGGTTGAAAAACTGTGGAAGGAGTAGCGGTGGAAAACCCTTTGTCCAGGGGTGGACACACACACACACACACGCGCGCGCTCGCGCGTGAGAATGTCATAGGCGTTCCCGATTTTCTGCTGATCTTGCAACGTGCAGAACATACAAGCAGCAAAAAACAAATAGAAGACACATGCAAGCCACTGCAAAGCACAAAAAGCCTGAGAGTGATGGACTTTCTTTCTTTTCATATTTGTTCATACCCTCATAGCACGTTGTATTGTTCATATTCCCCCAAATTTGGATGTTTGATTTTGTACTTCAGGAGTTCATCATTTTTGTGTTTTCCAATCCCACAAGCTTTGCAGATCACAAGATATTAGGAATATCTCAAAACTATTCAGATGTAAGATAGTTTCAAGTGGTTTGGAGTGTTGACACAGTCATCTCAGGAGTGTTTGCACGTGTGGTTGTGACTATTCAGTTTCCACAAATGTCGCAGCCTTGGAATACGCCCATCGATCTTGCATCTTTCCGGACACAATTGACGCTTAAATTGATATTGATACTGATATGTGATGCACAGTGAGTGTCGAATGAGCGCACGAGTCTCAACAAGGTATGCGTCAATTTGGGGACGATAGGACTGGTTACGACAGTGACGCTCGGCAGGAAACACATTGAACCTTTTCACTTGTGCACAACCTAGGACCCAGGATGTTTCTGAAAGGTTCCAGCGCAAGTTGAACAATTGAAACAAAATGAACAAAATGTCTTGTAGAAACAAGATTCTCAATGAAACTCAATAGCTGCATGATTCACATATTCGCAATACAGGAAAGCAGCTTTCCTGGCCTTCCGGTGCCTCAAGGGCTTGCGAAGGCGATGTCGGGCGACTCGACGACTTTTCAACCGACTCGATGCTCCAGCGCCGCCCTCTGGCGGTGTAAAAGGCAAGATCTGGCAAAAAACAAGGAAAAAGGCATCCTTTTGTTAGGTTTCAGCAAGCAGGGGTCTTATCAAATGGGTGCCAATCTCCTGTGTGTCTTTTTAAAATCAATACAATTCTTGACCTTTGCATTGGACATTTGCAGCTTAGAGCGGCCAGATGTGACTAGGTCTCAGTGGGCAAACCTTCTGTCTGTCACCTTCCCAGTTCCCCTCACGGCCGCTGACTTAGTGCTGAGATGAGGTTTTACTTTCTTTTTCGAAACAAAGGGACACTCTTGCAGGTCTACACTGTCGACTGGCAGCAAGCTGATGGCAAGCCCATACGTTTTCGCACAGAGGACACACTGGGAGTAGAACACTACGTGATTCTCTGCGTCCACCATCAGTCGGTCCTTCCTTGCGTGTCTTTTGTCCAGAGTAGTTACTGTGATCTCCAATTCAATCTGGTCATGAACTGCTGTGTGGGATCATTGTTGGGGTCAAACAAATGGCTTCTTGGCAAACTTGTCCCGAGCATGGCGCTACTCCATCCACTCCGTTCATTCATCCTTCTTCATCGTCATTCATTTGCAGGGAAACTGAACACATGAATAACCCATGTCCGATGACAGACTAAGGACAACTCTCGATGACTTGTCTCGTTCTGGAGGACATGCCTGTCCAAGGCGAAGTGGCTTTTGATCCCTTTGCAATGATGGACGAGCAGCCCGACAGCAAATTCACCACTGTCGGCACCTCGGGCGGTACCTGAAACAAACTTGGGCAACTTCAACCGGACCCTTTGCAACCTCAAATAGCTTCAACATGCTTTAACTGATGATATTTTTGTTTGCAATTACGGCTCCAGTCAGGTGCATTTACGGCCAGAGCTGCTGCGGCCAGAGCCACCTGGTGAAATGATGTGACATGCATTCTCTCCGAGCAGCTTGACGTTTTCTCAACCGATGTGACTCTTTGTTATAAGCTACTAGGAACAAGTGCATCGCTTCTAGTAACAAGTGCCTTACTAGTAGTACAAGAAGCTATTAGTAATTAGATTCTTTGTTATTCTCAAACTCAGTCCGGTGGCCCACGGTGATTTTGACCACACCATTCTGTGTAGCACAAGACGGCCGAGCAGAGCTTTGGATAATTTTGGGATAAAACTGACAACTGCATTAGCTACTAGGAACAAGTGCCACGCTAGTAGTAACAAGTGCCTTACTAGTAGTAACAAGAAGCTACTAAGAACAACTGCATTGCAAGGCAGGTCCACTGCGATAAGTCTCACGGCAGTGAATCCAGCCACCACTGCAGGCACGATGACTGCATTTTGGTGCATGATTACACAGTTGTACGACGATCTACCAAGGTTTGCCCAGAGTAACACAGATTTTGAGGCTTGATAGGTTCAGTGCCAATTGTCATGCCTATATATATATATGTTTTATATTATACCGGGGTCTCTTAATGTTGACTACAGGAGATCATATTTCTGACAGAGCCTTTCCAAGCAAAACCTGAGAGGCACTTCCACCGAAGCTTTTGACAGGTTCTTGGCAATAGTTTTCTACAGCTGTCAACCAAAAGTTGCTTTGAGAACGCCGCACCAGACTGTGAAAAACACTACGACTAATACAACAGATTCAGAACGTCGAAAGCATGTGGTGATTTCCTTCTGGTAGGCAACTGGAGATGCCAGGCAGGCCAGTGTTCCGACCTCAAAACCAAGGGGAAAAAGATGCCACGGACATGTTGATGCTACTTGAATCTCCATTCCCCTTCCCTTCTTTTTGGTATCCGAAAGCTCAACGACAGAAACAGGAGTTCTGGTGATGAGCCTCGTTTTCTTTGTGATCCTCGGACATTGCACAGCAATCTGAGGCCCTCCAAGTTAGAGCCTGCACAGTTCAAGGCTGTTGTCGAGGCTGAGTACATTGGTTGCTGCTCGGCTAGAGCGTTGGCTCGGTTCATGACCCGCATGCCGTGCCACAAAACTGAACACAGTGAGGCTGTGGCTTCCCTTGGCCAACTGGCGGCAAGAAATTTGCTTGCTCCTTGGGGATCGTGGGGATGTTTGATGCATATGTTTGTTTGTTGTGATTATTATTGTCATTATATTTTTAAAAAACAATCCTATGGAGCCCATCAAGAAAACAAGACCCAGGGAGTTTCTATATGGTGTCATTTGGATTCTTGAGGAAACAGTGTTTCGCAGGGTCTGCGATGTCACCTACAAATTTTCTATTCAGGTCTACGATGACAGCTTCCTGGCAGAGCTGGAAGCAGGTGGGTTCCTCAGATCCGCAACAACCCCTTTAAATCAAGACATTTGCGCTCAAGTCACGCCTGAATGGCAATTTCTTTGGCCTGTAAGAGGGTGTAAGAATCGTAAGCATAGCATAAAGTGTCAAACTTGTCAGGTTCGTTGCCGCGAGATGACACGACTCCATCAAGCTTGCCGGAGATCGAGGTCCCGGCCTTTCTGTCGCATGCGTCGCAACTGGGTTGCTGCACATTGCATTCTAGTTAGGTCCATTGCAGCGAGGATCAGAAGGCTGGTTGAAGCAAAATCAGGAAAGGATGGCGGACTTGTCCTTGGCAGGACTGTGGCACAGCTCAATGTCAAGACTGCGGAAGGCCTGCGGATCGACATGGCGCTGAGGTCTTGTCATTTTAAGACGCTCATCGGATTTTGAACAGGTAAGCAATGATCCAAACGCGCTTTTTGTGATTCCTAAGAGGAAGTTACTGGAAGAGCTGAAGCTGGGAAGCTGCTAGGCCATCTTGTACTGAGTTCACTGCAGCGCCACAGCCACGAGATCACACACCAATTAGCCCTGCACCCAGAAAAGATCAAGAGAAAGCAGGGAGCTGTCATGAGCTGACAGCAATTCATTTTAGACAGTTCAAAGGTAAGCGGAAGAGCTAGAGAAAGACTAGACAGACTTGACAGATCAGCTGCAGGCGAGAGCTCCCAAAGCTTTGAAAAGCGCGAAGACACCTTCAGTGCACAGTGAGAATTGGCAATTCGAGTACAGAGCACCTAAAAGGATGCATGAAGCGAGATGCATGACTGCATGGGGCAGAACCTTAATTGTATAGCCCGTTCTGCACATGTTCTTTGGTTCGATATTTTTCAAACGCTCTAGCGGTAGCTCAGGACGAGCACAGCACAATGCCCGCAAGGGTCTAGAGGTCTGGTTCAGGCCAGAAGATGCCTACCAGCATCGATCCGCGGTACACGTCGTATAACGTCGAAAAGCAGCTGCTTCGTTCAGCCGCCTGCTGGTGCCATCGTATTTTGTGACTTTCTGGTGCAACAGATCCGTGATGCGTATCACATGATCTGTACGACAGATGGGAATTGCCCTTCATCCGTCCTTGCTGGTAAAGGAGCGCTCACGTCTGTGGCATTACAACAAACTTGGCTGTACAAGGCTATGCAGCCATGAACGTTGCTTGTGAGGAGAACCAGATCTTTACCCTGTGCTGCTTCTTTGGTTTGCTCTTCCTGGTCCCTTTCTCTGTGGTTTGCTGCTGCTTGAGGCAAAGCAGTTTCCGACTTGGAAATCACCGCTTGGTCACAACTGTACACATTCACGGTCCCACAAACCGCTAAACGGACCGACAAAATCGCAACGTCCACGGCGTCGAGCCGTGCACAGACGACGTCCCAAGCAGATCGACCAGCAGATCGACTGTCGACCGTTGACCAGCACAGGGGCTCCAATGTCTCCACCGGGGGTGTCAGTGCAGAGACCCTCAAGATCTTTCATGCCTGTATTGACTTGGAGGCACGACGGCAAAATGAGATCGCGGCGTTTGAATTTTCAACACCCATGTGATCATTTATTCGCTCGTACCTTCAAACACGACAACTCAATAGGCTTTGTATAATGCTTCAGATCCCGGCCTTGGATTTGCAAGACGTACTTGAAGTGAGTCTTTGGACCTGTCTTCTTCGGATATAAAAAGGGCTTTCTGTCTCATCTACTTCCCATTTGCTGCTTTTGGTCTTGCCTGAAACCTGGCTTCGAGAAATTGTACACTCTTTTGGTAGAGAGCGTTGAGCTTTCAGGTGATGCTGGAGGACACTCCTGGCTTGCTAGCAGCGGCAGCAGAGGCAGACTCTTCCTGAACGAGTTCAACCTGTAGCTTGAGACATGTATCTTTCTTTTTTGTGTAAAGAACCTCAAATGGGAACGAACCATCATCGAAAGCCAACGCCCTTGCTTGCCCATGCGAGAGATGACAGCCTCAAGCTTTGGCCAGGAACGTCGGCAGATGTGCGCAGACGCCAGAGCCTGTATGGAGGCCGTTCGGCTACAAGCGACAGAGGGCACTTCAAGAAGAGGCACAGGTCACAAGGCACAGGTATATGATGGTATATGCTTATTATGGAGGCCATCGCTATTAGGTCGGAGGCCATTTCTATTGGGTTGGAGGCCATTCCTATTAGGTTGGAGGCCATTGCTGTTAATGTGCTTTCGGTGTACCTTTCTTTACATGTATAAAACAATGCACAAAGAAGTCGCAATCGGTGGTGGAACAGAGTGGAACCAGAAGCGGCGAAGCAGACCCCAGCTTCCCATGTTCAATCGAACCCTATGCCAAACCAGTAGTAATGCCAAAACGATGGGATTTGATTTTGTGACCGCGGCTGATGCGGTGAAACAGAACGCTTCTTGTCCCTTTGTGAAGGCAATGTCTGTGAGTCATCCAGAGCCGATGCAATCTGGCACTTTGGTGCGCTTCACGCAGGCAAAATCGTTGACAAATTGAGGATTCTGAGATTCTGGTGGTTGACAGAAGCATATATAAACTTTTTGGGTTCTTGGCAACTTGGCAGCTTTAAGTTCCAACCTTTCAGGATACCAGCAGTGGTGAGCAGTATGGATCCCCAGACAATGGATATCATGTGATGCATAATCTCAACCTTGAAGCAATTTGGCCTCCACGCACGAAGCCAAGATGCTGCAGGAAAGGCCGCCGTGGTGTTCTTCGAAGAAGAGGAGCTGTGCTCAGATCATTTAGAGTTCGAGTTCTTGGAAGGCCTGGCGAATGTGAGAGAATGAGATCTTTGAAGAGACATTCTCCGCAGAGGGGCAGCAGTGAAGGCTCTTTTTGCTAAGGCCCTGATGGCCGATGTGAAGTTGAGGCGCCTCTTAGCGCTCGAAGCACGAAGTGAAGCACGAAGTTCGCGCGAAGAGCAACGCACAGTGCAGGTTTGGCCAACCTCCGGGCCACCGCAGAAGCCCGAGGACGTGCCCCCGCAGCTTCGGGTGCCGATGCTGCTACTTCCACGGAAGGTCGAATGAATCAGCGCTAGCGCCAGGGAGGTGTACCTCTATTTCTTTGCATGTGAAAAAAAGTAGGTACTACTCGGAACAAGAAGCTAATAGTAACAAAGGGCATCGCTACTAGGAGCAAGGACGCTACTAGGGGCTCCTGGCCTTACTACTCGGAAGAAGAAACTAGTAGTAACAAAGGACAGATCAAGGTTCTTTCGGTGTCGAGATTCCGCCATGCACAGGTACAGACCAAGGTCTTTCCTCAGTCCGTCCTGGCTTCTTCGGAGCCAAGGAGACATCACAACACACCACAATATAGATCAATATAGAAGACTTGAAGATCGCGAAAAACACGGTCCCTCGATACCAGCGTGAAGGAAGGACGTTTAGAAATCGTGCAAGTAACACGTAAATACGTGTCATTTTGCAATCAATTAGAGCAGAATGAACCACTTCTACCATTTGACCAACAATATGCTGTTTTGTTTCACTTGTATGCCTATCATATCCTATCATGCTAGCAATGTCCAGCGCAGCACATGTTGTGAGGATTCCGTGTCCCTTCACTGATCCGGCAATTCGAAGGGGCTCTGCCATGCTGTGGGCGCACATGCGACGCATGCATCCGCACCTGGGCTTGCAGGTTTGCTCGAAAAGTCCAACGAAATGTTGCATGGAGCTGGATCATGCTTGTCCACTTTGAGAGATTTGACTCTTGAGCTCCAAGACAAGTCGTTTGCGGTTTTAAACGTCTGCAACGTCGTGATGACTTGAAGTCGGTTTTCGGTGTCGACTTCGCAAAACACAACGTCTCGGGAAAATGAGGCATATGTCACCAATGGCACAGGCCCAATATTTTGCTTTTCACATTTTTTCGCTGTTCAAGCTGAAGAGACGGGGTCTGTGGCTGAGCCGAACAGGCAGAGCTTACAAACCGTTTGGTGCAGACGCCAAAGCTCTGCAGAGTTTGGGAGCCTAAGCTGCGGATTCGGCGCTTTCCTGGGCTTCACTGCGGGCAAACAAACAAGATCGTTTTCTATGCCCTTTGGTCTTGCAATGAACTACCTCTTTCCACTAGCTACAGCTAGAACACTTCTAGTTTCATCTTTTTTGTTTCCTTTTGCCCTTTTTCATCATGTTTGTTTGTTTTTGGACCTATTGCATCCTATTGGCACCTTGGCAGGCCTAGGGAGTTGGACTCAATGACCCCCCTTTCCCATAACACGAACGCTATCGTTTAACTCGAAAGCTCTAGAGATAATATTCCCAATTATCTCCTGCCTCTACTTCGAAATAAGCCTTAAGCATGGGAAGCAATTGTTCTGGCAAGAAAAGACAAAGGAAACGCCAAGGATCTCATTCGATTCTTTCTTTCGCTTCATGGAAACACCTCAGAGATCGCACCACGAACACCGATTTCATCGGAGTTTTTGAAAGGCAATGATTTCCATCGCATCACATGGCGAGGGAGACCGATCAGGTGAGGATGTCTCAGTCCCGTGGACTTGGACTGGATAAGAGAGATCCCATTGATATCGATGAAACGCATTGATATCGATGAGGTTTTTCCGATTTTTCAATTCATGATTTTGCCGCAAACCAGCCACCTGTGTTCATCTCAAGCTGCAACCTGCAGGCTTCATAGAAGTGGTGCGCAGCTGCATTATGCTGCAGCGCTGTTTGGTTCAGGTCCAGCGCTGTTTCCTACTGATCGTGGACCTAGGTCTGTCAGTAATCGAACGACATGACATGAGAATCGATCGCTTCTCTCTTTTTAGAGCCTGGAGTCGAGAGCCCCTAGTAGCGTTCTTGCTCCTAGTAGTAAAGGCAGGAGCCCCTAGTAGCATCCTTGGTCCTAGTTGCAGGCGATTGATTTCAATGATTCGCCACTACTGCAATTGCCCCATGTCAGGCAGGTTTTCTCGAAGATCAAACAAAGGACGAGAGACATGAAACAGCAGAAAACACCAAGAAAGACTCGCAGACTTGCGGCAGGTCGGTGCCAAAGGGAGCGCCAGGCTTTCATGAGGCGGGAGTTGGAAGCCTCGTGCTCATTCACGCATGAGCGAATTAAGGAAGTCTGACAAGAACGCTTACACAGAATGAACCAAAATATACCAAAATACTAAACATCGAATCAATGGCTGCTCGATTTCTCTGAAATAAAATGAAATACAGTGGTAGAATTGTCGGGCACAGCCCTGTTTCATTCTTGATCCTATCAGGTGGTGCGGTCACCAGAAAAGTCTTTGCTGAAACAGCTTGGCTCTTTGACAGCGGAGCAGGTTCGCTCGTTTTCTTGTCTTCTTGTCGCGTCTGTCTTGAATCTTTTCGCGTATCGTTGGTTCGATTCAGGTCTTAGACATCCAGTCTTTTTGCCAGCACGTGCCTTTGGTTGAGCTCAGCTACACAGTGGAGGCTCTGACAAACCCTTGTTTACGCTTGGTTTGGTGTAGATGTTCACTCATTTGTCACGAGCCATACTTGAAAGGCATGAATAGCAACATGGTTGCAACAAGACAATGCAAGATTCTTGCATTGTTATGCAAGATGTTTGGTGATGATAGGATCCCAGACAGCTGGATGACTTCTCCTTTTTGCCCTCTAGCATTTATTTTCATGAAAAGGAATTCGCATCAAGTCATTGTGGGCAGGTGAATGATGAGGCAGAGATGGCTGAAGGTGACATGTCCACACTGAAGGCATGTCTGGTTGGGTGTGTTGATGCAAACTCAAACGCAATACACGGTCTTTATTCAACAAGAGAGGAAAAAAGAAGGTAAGGCCCGCTTTCAAGGGGCCTGTACTTCTGTTTTTTCTCTCCTCCTCTTTAATGCCCTATTTACACAGCGACTCTGGCGACTTTTTACACCCTTGAGATCTCTGTTTTAGCTGAAGGTAGAAATACAGCGACTTCGGAGAAACGCTCCTCCTTGCCAGGTCACGCTCACCAGAACCAATCTCTCCAAAGCGGAATGTGCCGGTCCAGTTCACGCACCTTTTTTTCCTGCCGTCAAGTACGAGGTCCGGAAGAAACCTTTGCAGAGTCCACTTGAGACCAAGAAAACATGACACATTGGAAAAGACATTGGAACAAGTCACAAGCATAACAAGGCCTTGGTCTCAGGCCTAACTATTGCTTAAAACTATGTTGAACCCACCCTCACGTGATATTATACGCTTCAAGCATTTTCTCGCATGAATGATGTCATTTCGGTCAACTGCCAGCCTGTCCACCACAAGCATTTGTGAGGGACAGCTGAGAAGCTCAAAGAACCTCCTGCCACAATGCAATAGATTTAAACTAGTCATCTCAAGTTGGACGTACATAGCACTGATAAGATATTGTATGCGTTTATGCAACTTTAACTTTAAGGTCAAGTTGGACATTGGGAGTTCTGGGATGCTCAGAAGTTCGATTTGAACACAGGAATGGTGGCTGCTCGTCTATGACAAGCGTGGCCGAAGGCAAGACGAGAACGCTTCTTTCTCACTCGCTGCTGTCGCTGCCTTTTTGTGAGTCGACATCGGAAGTCAAGTGGGCAAGGATGATAGCTGCTGACTTGGTTCTGGGGACTGGGCGCGTCTGCAAAAGCAGCGTGAATTTTATAGTTCGAGGCTTGGAAAAACGAAAGGCAGAGAGCACTGTCGGGCACAGCTAGCTTTGCAGATTTGTGGGAAGAGTCTCTGAAAGCTTCTCAGGTTCCTAGACCGGGTGAGTTTGAGTGGACCGTTTTCGCCATGTGCGACTCCTACGCAGGCGGATTGCGGAACGGCGGAACCAAACCACACGGTGACTCCGAAGCAAAACGGCAGGTCTCGATGTGACGCTGGACGTCCACTTCAAAGCAGCCAAGAAATCCGAGGTGGACCGGTGAAGAGCTCAGAAGTGAGGCGAAAGAAAGGAGCAGGGTGAGCAAAGAAAGGACACCAAAACAGAGCCAAAGCGCTACAATGTTTGCTTGCCAGCTTGTATCTTTCCAGTCGAGCGAAACCGTTCCATTTAATTCCATTTCAAGGTCCATTTTTGTTCATCCTGAGGAGATTTTCTGTGGCATCCATGACTTCTTTTTACTTCCTTCGAGTCTTTGTTGCGCGCGACAAGCTTCATCCACCAGGACGCCGAGATCAAAACACTCTTTGAGGAGCTGATGATGGGACTCGATCAGGACAGCGGGCCTTCTAAGCAAATCAGTGTGGCCTTTTTCGGATTTGTTGGTTCGAGAGTAACTAGGTTGGAGGCCATCGCTTCTAGGTTGGTGGCTACTAGGGTGGAGGCCATTGCTAGCAGGAGGCTTCAAGGACTTGTTGGGATGTTTTGGACAGTTCGAGAGGTTGACTCCAAGAAACGCGTGGCTGAGAAAAGGTTGAACTGCTTTGTTAGGTGCCCGCAGTCCACGGAACTAGCACTTCCTGCTTCAGGACCAGGAATCAGACTCTGAGGAAGAGGAAGAGCCTTCAGCCCGGCAGGAGCAAATGCTTGGGCCTTGAACCATGAAGCGTGTTGGGCCTCATTGACTGGTTTGCTCACCCGTGTTTTTGCTGGGGGAAGGAACCAGTTCTAATGTGGAACAACTTGAACGAACGAGGCTCAAGCGGGATGCCAAGAAAGACGTCAACGCCGTGGAGGTTGTCGACGGCGACTCAGGGGAGACCGAGGAAAACAAGAAGGTGGAGAGCAAGGAGAAAAAGGCAGAAGGGGACAGCGATGGCCTCCAACCTACTAGCGATGGCCTCCAGCCTACTAGCGATGGAGAAGGGGAGACAGGCTGCTTGTGACATTTTGTGAGCGTTGTGCTTGGTATGAAGACAGCTTGTGCGGTCAGGAGGCAAAAAAGACAGAAGGTGAGAAGCTCATGCCTGTCATGCTATTTTCGACTCTGTACGCGCACTCCGACAAGCAAGGACGCTACTAGGGGCTCCTGGCATCGCTACTAGGAACAAGAAGCTCCTACTGTAGGGGCTCCTGGCCTTCACTGTAAGAACCACCAGAGACTGCAACACTGTGAGACTGTCAAGCCGTCACTTGGAAGATTTGGAAGGCTCCGATGAGGAGGATGAAGAAGAGAAAGCTGTACCAGATGGGTCGTCGGAGCCTTATGGAATATGTTTGCAAAAGGAAAGCAAGGCAGGTCATGGCAGGTCTAAATAAGATCCAAACGAGAACAGACGATAATTGAACAAGAACACCCACGACCTTTCCAGCGATTTTTTTGCACTCTCCGCCGAGCGCGGCAGGTATTTTCGAATCACTGACACCACTGGCAGCTTTATCTACCGAGAGCCCACAGAGGACCGAGTGTTCGCTGGACTTTTTCATCAGCTGAGACGTGCTGGCCAGTTTTGTTATTTTCGTCGTTCGTCCTTTAATTTAAGCCTGTTTCAGAGGATCCTTCGATGCGAATAGGATCATTGCCCAAAGGTGCAGTACTGCGAGGCATGAGAGAAGCACCAAGGACTTTGCTTTTGCTCACTAGGGCCTCACAAGAAGGCTTCACTCGCAACAGGTTTTCAAGAGGGCCGTCCAGAAGGCTGGTTGGAGGTCCCCACAGGAGCACAAGGTGGGAGCCTTCCGTGCTTTTCGCAGAAGACGTGAACGCTCGAAATCGTTTCACTTTGTTTCAATCGCCAGGAATTTGGGCCTGGCGCCCAGCACTCCCAGAGCAAAGAAGATGAGAGAAGGAAAGAAGTACTTTTTGTATCTTTTTGTCTTCTATTTTCTAAGGTCAAAGTGGATGGTGCCATCAAGACAGACGAGGAGACCGGTTTCTTCTTTTTCGAACACGTCACCACATCAACATGAAGAGAGTTGATCAAGCACAAGCCAGTTCTTGATGCTTTTCAGAAAGATGAGCCTGGTCAACCTGCAGAAGGCACTCTTATTTTTGAGACTTGGTCATGGCCACCATGCTTTGGTCTTCCTTGCTTCATGGGACATGCTGATTGCAACTTATTGTTCCTAACTTTGCGTTGAACAATCCTAGCCAAACTACATGAACGAATGAAGAGATCTTCATAGAGTAATCCCAAAACAAGCCTGGGTTGGAGGGCGTCCGATTGGAGGATTATTGTAGGTTGGAGGCCATCGCTTCTAGGTTGGAGGCCATCGCTAGTACATAGCATCCTTGGACTGCAGACTTGGGCCCTTTACCTGAGATTTGCTTGCGGGACCTGGCCAGCAGCACAGCAGTAAACGGCGAACGATTGTAGACGGGGCAAACGAATGCAAGTGCTCGGCATAGGTTGGCAGAATCAATCAACAATACGACAATATGCAACACAAATTATCAAAATTTCCATGGCGATCACGTCTTGCGCTAGCTTTGTACGAGCACACTCACACAACTTACTGCAGATCGCACACGATTTTGAGGATCGTTGACCAAGAAAAACGAGACACGTGTTTTTGGTGGACACCATTCAAGAAGCCTCATTGCACAGAGACATTGCATCAGCTCAAGGTCAAGGCTCATGCGCCCATCTGCCTCTTGAAGCGCTGGACTGAAGCAGAGCTGCTTTTTGCTTTTGCAGTTCAAGATTCCGAGACTGTGCAGCTCTGGTATAGACAAACCAAGTTCTTTCACTCCTGCACTTCCGCTTCCAGCCAAAGCCTACAACAAATGCTTCAAAGAAGGAACCGTACGCAAGTTGAACAAATAATCATGAGAGTCATGAGAGCAACAAAAGGACAGAAATGTGGGTCTTCGGTCTTGATGACAAGTTCATCGCTTTGCTTTTTGACCTCTTACAAGAGCACATTCAAACTCGGGCAACGCGCAATGCCGACAGAAACTTCGAGTCTTGGTTGTTCTAGTTGGGTTACTCTTCGCATCGTATTGGAGTGACACTAAGGACTCGCTTCTCATCTGGCTATGGCGTTTGCGAGATTACTTTAAATCGACCTTCAAAGCTCAATGCGTTAAACTTGAATATGAGCCTTGGACCTCTTGCCAGATTGCCGGCGACTTTGCCCACCTTTTTAAGAATTGGTTTGCATTCAGAAGAGTGTGGACGGTTTTTTGAGCGCTTCAGCTGCCAGCTGTGCCAAATAGTCCAATTTGTACTGGCATCTTTGAACCCTTGAACCTTGAAACATAGCGCAGCAAAAGATGCTTTTTGCTTTTGGACAGCGCATGAATCAAACGGGCTAAGGATCCGATGTCTTCATGGGGCTTTGGATCAGCTGGATGCTAAAGCTGGCAAGGCATATGAAAAGCTGCAGAACATGTTCTTCAATGCTTGAGTTCCCACGGTTTCCATTTTCACAGTTCAGTTCATTGGACATTCTTTGTGAAGCTCTTTGTGCTTGAGCAGAAGCGCCATCGGAGGTTGGATGCCTGATCATGTCTGGCGCCGGTAGCAAGGCTTTCTGCGCTGGTGGCGATGTGCAAATGATCCGCGAGGCCTTGTCCAACGAAACACTCAGCACATGCGGTTACTGTGTACAGCACATTTTGTTCAAAGGTTTCTTCATGAACAACTGTGGAGGAGGGACTTGCTGGAGGTTCTCTTCCAGCAGACTTCTTCTACGAAGAATATGGGGTGATGTTCAGACTGGCAACACTGCTGGAAAGAACAGGCCGACTTGTGAGCGCTCTCACAGCTGCTTTCAGAGAGCTCCAACGCTCTACGAAGCCGTTGCCTTCGCTGCCAGGCTGCTGTCAAGTGAGCCTTTGCGATGGAATTACCATGGGTGGCGGGGTTGGCCTTTCAACTCATGGCCCCTTTCGCATCGTCACGGAGAAGACCCGCTTCGTTCCTTTGGAATTCATGGCTTGTTCTTCGTCCACTTTTGTCAGATTTTGTCATGCACATGTGAGAACGTAACGCTTCAACTGCGTGGATCAGACGCAGCGGTTTCGGGTGGTTTCGGTCCGATTCGGCACTGTGGCCATTGGACTTGTGCTTTTCGATGGCTTCGAGGCTATGCCTGAGATGGCCATTGGACTTTTTCCCGATGTGGCTTAGATGAATGTGTTTGAATATGATCAGGTCAGTTTCGGGTCGGGCCGATTCTGCATCCCAGGTAGGTGCGACATATCTCTTGAGCCGCTTGAAGGCAGGAGGCAACGTTGGACGTCTCTTGGCTGACTTTGATAGTTGATGTTTTTTGCTGCATTTGCTGTCGGATACTACATGTTACTACTTCTTCATTGGAACTAAGGCTTTATGGCCATGACCGGCACCACACTGGCGGCCTGGGACGCTTTGAGGGCAGGTGTGGGAACCTCAGCCATGCGTGCCCGTGGCGCATCCATTGCCCGTGAAGCCCGCGCTGTGCGCGCGAAGCCCCGCGAAGCTGAGAGGTGGGAACACACTTTGTGCCGTCGTCCCGCACCTTGGGCAAAAATCTGGACACGGACTTGTTGACATGGAACTTGTTGACGGAAGATTCAATCTTGATTTGTTCAGCGATGCTTGCAAAAGGTATTCCAAAGCTAAGAGTGGCTCTTGGTAGCAGGCCACAATGCATGAGTGCATGCTCAGGAATCTTGTTCAGATCTATTTGGTTTGCAAACAGCTATGCAGGTTCAAGGCAAAGCTCATTGGCGAAGATGCTTTGAGGCTTTGTGAGGACCGAAGACTGATAAAGCGATGCACTCCAACACCACCATTTTGTGTGTAGGTTTTGATGCGCGCGGGGATTAACTTCAGTGGGAGCTGCTCTTGTGTTTTTTTGGGGGTGGGGCGTGGGATGAGCCGTTCTTTTACATGCAGCACATTACCGATCTTCGTCTTTGCTTGTGTATTGTTCTTGTGGTTGCGTTTCAGCCACTATTTTCCGCATTTGACAGCCACCCTGTGTAGAAGAACTCTTTCGCAACTGATCCTGAATCTGTTTACTCAACCATTTGACCCTCTATCCCATCTATCCGACTTTTCGACTTCGTTTCCAACACTGTCATCACCAGCTAAGGGCCGTTGGACTGGGAAGGGCTGAGGGCTGTTGCTCTTGTTTCTTGTAGTGCCCTAGCTATGGCCTCCAACCTGCCAGCGATGGCCTCCAGCCTAATAGCGATTGCCTGCAGCCTACTAGCTATGGCCTCCAACCTACTAGCGATGGCCTCCAACCTAATAGCGATTGC